ATAAACAAGAGAAAAGGATTTTTTAGTTTTTATTTTTATTTTATGTGTATGAGTGTATTGCCTGCATGCGTGTAAGTGCACCCATGTTGTGACATGCTCCAGGTCAGAAGAGACCATCGTATCCCCTGGAACTGGAGTTAAGAATGGTTGTTAGCCGCCATATCAAACCTGGATCCTCTGCATCAGCAGCCAGTACTCTTAACTGCTGATCCGTCTCTCCAGCCCCAAGAGGCCCGAGGATAGTAGATTTTTTTTTTTTTAATTATTTTTATTTTATGTGTATGAGTGTTATGCCTGCATGTAGGTAAGTGCACCTGTGTCATGCAGTGTGTGCGGAGGACAGAAGAGGCTGTTGGATCCCCTGGAACTGGAGTTACAGACAGTTGTTAGCTGTCATGTGGGTTCTGGGATTCGAACCCAGGTCTTCTGCAAAAACAGTCAGTGTTCTTAACCACTGAGCCATCTCTCCAGCCCATATAAGACAGGTGTTTTTTTTTTGTTTTTTTTTTTTTTTTTTTTTTAGACAGGGTCTCCTTGTAGCCCTAGCTCTCCTGGAACTCACTATGTAGACCAGGCTGGCCTTGAACTCACAAAGATCCTCCTGCCTCTGCCTCCCAAATGCTGGGATTAAAGGCATGTGACACTGTGCCTGGCCTAAGACAGGTTTTTTTAAAGGTTTATTTTTATTATTTATGTGTATATGAGGGCAGGAACCAAAGTTGGGTTCTCTGGAAGAGCAAAAAGTGCTCTTAACTGCTGGGCATCTCTCCAGCCCCTGGTATGAAATAATTTTGCAAAAAATACTTATTTTAATCTTTTGTGCACGTATGTGTGTACATGTTTGTGTATATGAATGTGGGTACACACGTGTCACATGTGTATGAGGGTCAGAGGGCAACCTCAAGTGTCAGTCCTCACCAACCACCTTGTTTATTTTGCTGCCATGTACATAAGGCTAGCTGGTCCATGAGCTTCAGGGGATGCTCCTGTCTTGGCCTCCCATCTTGTCATAGGAGGACTGGGCTTACAGACGAGAGCTACCTTTATGTGGATTCTGGGGATTTGAAACTAGGTCTTCACATTTACGCAGCAAGCACTTTAACTACTAAGTCATTTCCCCAGCTCCTTCTTCTATTTTATAGGTTTACTGGTAAAATCAAGTAACATATGGAGCTATCTTATCAATTACAAAGCAGCATATAAACTCAAAGTTATCCCATCCTGATGGTGTGCTATTCAGATATTTAGATGATTTATCTCCAACAAAACTGAAGACCCCCAAGTGGTATTGCAGTTATGAGATGTAAGGGCACCTGCTTTGGCATGATCTTGGATTGTTTTCCTGGTTTTCTTCCCCTGGCCCTGGTTTTCCAGCTGTTTTCTCCTAGAAGCTGAAGACATTATTCATAGTTTGTTTTTAGTTCTTTTCCATACTTTATAGCCTGATGCTCCTTCAGAAAAATTACTTTGAGCTCTGAACTGGCTCAAACAACTTATAAGCAGGTGGATAAAAGAAATCCAAAAGCCACTCCAGGTCCAGCATGCTTGATATGCTCCAGCACAGGTAGCTGACACTGCTAAATTTTCTAAACCTAAAAGTAGCTATTAAGAGCCAAAGGTACAATGGGTCAAATTGCTGGTTCAGCCCTCACTCTTCCTTTTGTCCCTGTTTATTCTCTAGTTACCAGTGTATACCATCATTTGGCATCAGTGAGGAAAAGGAGTTTGAACTGGCCTTCTAAGGACCTCAAGCTTTCAAACCTAGCAGGGTATAAACCTTTCAGTAAAGCAATCCAATCTGCTGACAGGTTCACTGTGATCTACATTAGAATACACAGGGGTAGGTTAAAGTAGGGCCTAAAGAGGCCCTTTTCACTGACACCTGATTTCCTATGGAGCTACCCTAAGCTCCTGGGTAGAAAAGGGAACAGAAGCCACACAAAGAGAACAAAGATGATGCACAGCAGTCCACACTGCCCTGGGGCAGCTCCCATGGAGAGCAGCTCTGTGTCTTCCCTGTGAGGTCCTTCATCTTAGAGCAGGATCAACACAGAGCATTAGTTGAACAGCCAGTACTCTAGAAAAGCACAATTTGTATACAAGAAAGGTGCACAATTTGTATACAAGAAAGGTGTTCAAGAACTACTAGCTGCAAGAGTGAGTGATGAGGCTAGGCCGACAGGCCAGCAAAAAGAAAAAAAAGCAGTCTTTAGAACTGGAGTAAAGAACTAAGCTTGTGGGCTCCAAAGTTAGTCCAGTTCAACGGCTGGACACAAACTCAGGGCAACTCAAGAGTCATACCAGCAACAGAGCATCCAAGATTCACCACTGTTATTGAAGATCAATTTCCACTATACAATATCACAGGACACTTATAATCCCCACATGGGCCAGTCATCTGCTATCAGAGGCAGATCAGCTAGCTAGCCCCATTCTGGTCCTGTGACACCAAAAGAGCTAACCTCAAAAAAGTGTAGAAGTCCCTTTTCTTTAAGGCTCTAAGTCACAGCATCAGACCTTCTAACAGCTAGGTTCCCCACCTACTTCAGTCTCAGAAGATGCTGTAGGAGCCTGTGCTCTAAGATGGGCTGCCAGTTGCATAAGAAAGAGCCTAAAGACACATACAGTCTGGTTACTGAATATTGTCATAAACGTGAATCACATCTTCATGGTTGTTGAGAGCCTGGATGAGGTGAGCAGCTTGTTCCAAGTCAAGGTCAGCCAGTTGCACCTTTGAATGGGGGATGTACTCCAGAGAACAGGAGACGGAACATAAGCCCAGGGAGTCTAGCTTCTTTCTTACTTGATGCAGTGAAGAGGCATCACAAATAAACTAGGGATAAAAGAAAGTCAGTAAGGAGACAGGAATAAGACAAAGCCAGACAGAACTTTGCAAAGTCCTGAATGGAATTACCTATGCTGTAATGTATTACTGGGTTTAAGCTCATAGTTTTCAGTGTTCAGAATCCTTCTTGTATCATCCTCTGCAAATTCTTTGCTTAACCTCTATCTTGAAACATGAGAAAGAAGAAACCAGAGAAGCACACCTTAAGGTGTCTACTAGGGACCTCCTGGAAGCCCATCAAGCACCCAGGTTTGAGTCCCAGCACCCACATGGCAATGGGTGCTTTAAGCTTTATATTTACTTTTTTTATTTTTTAATTTTTTGGGTATTTTTGAGACAGGGTCTCCCTGTAGCCCCAGCTGGCCTGGAACTCATTATGTAGACCAGGCTGACCTTGAACTCACAGAGATTGGCCTGCCTCTGCCTCCCAAGTGCTGGAACTCAGCTTATACTCACTTTTATTTATTTAATTTATTTATTTAATATTTCTTATTTTATTACTTTTATTTTATGTGTATAAGTATATTGCCTGCATGTGTATAAGTGCACCCATGTCCTGCAATGCCCACAGAGATCAGAAGAGGGTGTTGGATCCCCTGGAACTGGAGTTATGGACAGTTGTTAGCTGCCATGTGGGTGCTGGGAATCAAACCCAGGTCCTCTGCAAGAGCAATTGGTGTTCTTAACCACTGAACCATTTTTCAAGCCCATACTCACTTTTATAAAAAAGCATTTACTATTCATTTTTTTGTGTGCATGTATGTGGGTAAACATGCATGTGTATGGGTGCATGCATGTGGAGGTCAGAGGACAACTTTCAGAAGTCAGTCCTCTCCTTCCACTATGTGGGTTCCAGAGACTGAACTCAGGTCATCAGCTTGGCAGAAAGTGCCTTCAACTGCTGAGCCATCTCATCAGCCCCCACACTTACTTTAAAAAGGTTCTCTTCTTCTTCATTCTCAGCTTCCATGACATCTTCAGCTCCTGCTTCAATTGCCAGCTCCAGGGCACGCTCTAGGTTCACAGCTTTTTTCTCTCTGTCCTCTACTCCAACCACAACCACTCCTTTTTTGTCAAAGGAGTGGCGTGCTCCTTCAGCCATCATTCCCCTGACAGGAAAGGAAATGGGAAGGGATGGGTGAATGCTTTTAGACACTCAGTTTCCACAAAGAGCAGCATTCTAACACTAACCCTCCCCACTGAGCCTCTGTAGTACAGAGATACAAAGTAGCTCTCTTCCTGAAGATGCAACTGATGTGCTGAGTAAGAGGACCTTCCCAGAACATCCCCACCTTCTATTTTCTGTCCCTGTAAGAGTCTGAAGGATACAGAAAGGACACAAAGACTTTGCTTATCATTTTCTGTCCCATTAAGACTGCTGTCCTTGCCAGGTATGGTGGCACATGCCTTAAATCCCAGAACTCGGGAGGCAGAGGCAGAGGCAGGCAGATCTCTGTGAGTTCAAGGCCAGCCTGGTCTACATAGTGAGTTCCAGGACAGCTGGGGCTACAGGGAGACCCTGTCTCAAAAAGAACCCCCAAAAAAGACTGCTGTCCTGGTGGAATATCTTTTTTTTTTTTTGAGACAGGGTCTCCGTGTAGCCCCAGCTGTCCTGAACTTGTTATATAGACCAGGCTGGCCTCGAACTCACAGAGATCTGCCTGCCTCTGCCTCCCAAGTGCTGGGATTAAAGGCACGCACCACCACACCTGGCATCCTGGTGGAATATCTCAAGGCTGGAACATTATATGGCTACAGATGGAATAATGGGAGAAAGATCCTGATGAATGTGTCTTTGGGATCCTCCCTCACTCAGAGGACACTAAAGGAAATTATCACATTGAATTCTGCTAAGAAGCATACTTGCAACTTGAAATACCACCAGGATCAATAGCATTTGTCTTGCATAGATTTGGAACCAAAAGGTCCTGTCCCCTTCCCCCCATCCCTCCAACCCCACACCTACCCTTTCTTGTTCAGGATGTGTTTAATGTCCAAATGGCACTTGGAACCACTATTTGATAATGCCTCAATGAGCAGAGAAGAGCCACCAGGGCCTCGAGCCTCATACAGCAAATAAGTGCCCTTAGTTTTCTGCAATAAACAACATGAATATATTTTTCTGTTTCCTAATGTCCTTCATGAAAGCTCCAAACCACAGACACCAAAAAGTTGGCTCCATGGAACGGCCTCTCAAGGTGTGAGCTTGGGCTCTCAAGTCTTTATTTTTGTCCTCATCCTCTGCAGGGAGGCCAATGGGATCAACTTTTGAGGTCATTGGAAGTACTATCCCTTCTTTGAAGGGAGTCTGTTTCCCTGGTTCCTGAACAGTTTTTCCCAGTTCTTGTTTCCACTCCTCCCTAAGCAGATCCCAAAACTATCCCAGTCACTTGCACCTTTATTCATCCTTCCGCACTCCATTCCATGTGAAACCAATGTACCAATTCTCAATGCCCCTACTCCTGGATTGCTGAGTGTTGCTAGAGAAACATTATACACCCCGACCTTTCCATAAGAACCACTGAAATCAGCATTATATCAATATTCAAACATTGTAAATCTAATGACCAATTTCATCAGGACTCCCTATGCTCTAACTCATCCACTATTGATCCCAAGTACCCTGCCCTGTACCTTTCCAGGGGCTTTCAACTGATGACTTCTCCTGTCCACCACAAATGAAATACAGGACCCCTGGCTGAGCTCTGGAGTCTGACTGCCTGAATTCAAGTCTGTTATTTTCTGTACGACCTAAATCAAGTCATCTAACTTTTCTGTGCCTTAGTTTCCATTTAAGGTCACTTTCAGGATTCACCAAGATCTTACACACAGAGTTTTTAATCAAAGTACTTGGCCTGGAACCAATACCCAGTAACTACTAACTATTAGGATGATTATTGTGGGGAATCAAGTACCTCTGTAAGCCTAGCACTTGTGAGGCTGAGACAGGGAGATCATGAATGTCTAGCCAACCTACTACATAAAAAGACCCTAGCCAGGCATGGTGGCACACGCCTTTAATCCCAGCACTCTGGAGGCAGAGCCAGGAGGTTCCCTGTGAGTTCAAGGCCAGCCTGGTCTACATAGTGAGTTCCAGGCCAGCTGGGGCTGCAGGGAGGCTCTATCTCAAAAAAGACCAAAAAATAAATAAATAAATAAATAAAAATTAAATAAATAAATAAATAAAAAGACTGTCTCAAAATAAAACAAACAAAAACCTTTAAAAAAAGAATTATTCTTTAATTTCTTACTTCTTCCAGAAGAAACAGTGTCCCTTCACTGGAGCTGTACATCCCTCTCCCTCCCACCATTACCACTGCCCTTAACCTCTCCCTTTCTACTGCTTTTCTCTTTAGACATAAGCATCTGAAGAGAAAGGCAAATCCTTCTCCAACCTAATGTCTGGGTTTTCCCCATATCTTATGTGATCTTTCTACCCATCTTCTCCCAGCTTCATGAAGTAGCTCTAGACTCTGGTTCTCCACACTGTCTACCTAGCCTATTTCCTGTCACGTTCTTCCAAACAATGGCTAAGGATAAAGAATCCCCAAAGGCCTCTGGGTTGAAAGTGTCAACCACATTCCTACTCTTTTCTCTGATAATTTAAGGAATGTATAGTGGCTTTCTAAACAAGGACCCTGTGGGGGTTGTGGAATAACAATGTCAAACTGAAGACATACCTCCATTTTCAGCGCTGCCTCAATGGTTGACTTGGGCATGTGTTTGCTGCGACACACCTCTAAGACATTGGCCAGGTTGTTGTTGAGCTCAGGGTTGGGGCCTCCCTCTGAGATAAAGAGAAAAGAATGATCAAAGTACATCACAATATGGGAGAGATAAGGGATTTCCAGCCTCTCCCAACCCAAACAATAATACATTACTCTTCATTGGAATATTTTACCTACGGTTTTGAAGAGATGGCTCAGTATGTAAAACACTTGCCTCACAAGCAAGAGAATCTGAGTGTGATCCCTAGAGCAAATATAAAAGAAGATGCTGGGACCAGCTTATAGTTTCAGAACCAGGGAGGCGGGAATGGAAAGATCCCTGGGGCTTATGGGCCAGCCAGCCTAGATTACTTGGTGAAATCCAGGCCAGGAGGAGACCCTGACTCAAAAAATAAAAAATAGGATCAGAGAGCTGGCTAGGTGGGCAAAAACACTTGCTGTACAAGCCTGACAACCTGAGTTCGATTCCTGGAACCCCATAAAGGTGCAAAGAGAGAACTAACTGCACGAAGTTGTCCTCTGATCTCCATATGTGTGCCATGGCATGTGTACACCCATACCCATCCCCCAACACTAATAAATAAATTTTAAAGTAAGGTTTATAGCTCCTGAGGAAAAACACCCAAGGTTGTCCTCTGGCCTCCACACACATCCACATGCATATGCACCTACATACACATAAATACACACACACACATACACACACAGAATATTCCATCTAGCTAAGCACGATGGTGCATGCATATAATCACAGCACTCAGAATGCTGAGGCAGGAGCTTGGATTAAATAATGAGTGAGATTCTGTCTCAACAAAAATACTTAAATCAAGTGATTTGACTGGAATAAGAAGAATTTTGGGAAATTTCTTTGGTGGAGGGTATGGGAAGCCGAACGTAAGGCCTCACCCATGCTAAACACTATGTTCTACCACTGGGCTACATATCCAGTCTGGAATAGCTCCTAATTCACTCTGTCTTTAGGGCTGGTTATAATTTTGCTAGGTTTTAGCAAGCTCCACTTTTGTCAGTGGAAGAGGTTAAAAAGATATAGATGGTAACAGTATCTTTTTAAAAAAATATTTTATTATTTTTATTTTATTTATATGAGTAAGGACGGTAGCCACCGTGTGGGTGCTGGGAATCGAACCCGGGTCCTCAGCAAGAGCAGTCAGTGCTCTTAACCACTGAGCCATCTCTCCAGCCCCAACAGTATCTTTTTAAATTTATTTTTATTTTATGTGTATGAGTATTTTGCCTGTATGTACAAAAGTGCACCATGTGCATGCAGGACAGAAGAGGGTGCTGGATCCCCTGGAACTGGAATTACAGGTGGTTGTTAGCTGTCATGTGGTACCGGGAACTGAACCCAGTCCTCTGTAAGAGCTACAAGTGTTCCTAACAACTGAGCCATCTCTTCAACCCCAGTAACAATCTCAGATTTAACACCCCTTGCTGTTACTCTGTATATAATCATTGAAATGCTCACATGGCATTGAAATCATGCTCAGTCTCCGAGAATGGGGGCTATATTAGATAATCTTGTATAACCCTTGCCTGAACAAAATAAACAATAGTGTTGGTCAAACTTGCTATCAAGACTTTGAGCCAGGGATGGTGGCGCACACCTTTAGTCCCAGCACCTGGGAGGCAGAGGCAGGCGGATCTTTGTGATTTCCAGGCCAGCCTGGTCTATATAGCAAGTTCCAGGACAGCTGGGGCTACAGGGAGACCCTGTCTCAAAAAGACAAAATAGTAAATAAATAATAAATAAATTGATGCAATTAAAGAAAAAAGACTTTGTGAGAAAAGGAAGCAAAGAGAAATATTAAGCTTGAGTTATAGGGGTAAGTTAACATTATCTCTTATGTACTGTAAACCACCTCAAGATGGGCATTATTCCTATTTTTTTAAAATATTATTTTATTATTATTATTATTATTATTATTATTATTATTATTATTTGGTCTTTTTGAGACAGGGTCTCCCTGTAGCCCCAGCTGTCCTGGAACTCACTATGTAGACCAGGCTGGCCTTGAACTCACAGAGATCCGCCTGCCTCTGCCTCCGGAGTGCTGGGATTAAAGGTGTGCTCCACCACGCCCAGCTATTTATTATTTTTATTTTATGTGTATGGGTGTATTGCCTGCATATATGTAAGTGCACTCAAGTTTTACAATGCCCGCAGAGGTCAGAAGAGGGAATCAGTCCTCTGAAACTGGAGTTACAGTGGGTTGATAAGCCACGATGTGGGTGCTGGCAACTGAACCCGTTCTTCTGCAAGAGTAGCCAGTGCTCTTAACCACTGACCCATCTCTCCAGCCCTTATTATCTGTTTTACACAAGGCTGAAATTCAGCAGTTAAGCCACTTGTTCAAGGTCACTGCACTAACCTAGTCAATGACAAAATCCACATCTTCCTATCTGAAGCCATGCTTTTCACACGACTTTTTTCTCTGCTTCTACCAGTATCTGACACTACAAAGAAAAAAGACATAAAAAGTGGCTGCACAACTGAGAAAAACACATGGTTCCAAACCGACCTTCCAAGGAAATGTCTCAGGAACTCTATGCGGGAAACTAAGCAAGAAATGAATGAGTTGATTCAGACCTCCTATCATAACCTCCAATGCTAGTAAGCAACTTCAGAAGGCTCGGTTTGTTTCGAGAAAGACACACTTCTGACCCTTTCACTATGAAGTACCTAGCTACCTGGAGCCTCAGAGTAAGTCACTTTTTCTGTCTTCCTAAGGGCAGTTTTTTTGGAAAGGAAAGTAGGACTATCCAGTGAAGGGAGGTGCTTTGAGGTTTATAAGGCAGGGCAACAACGGCAGTTGGAGAAGGTAAAGGAAATGAACGGCTCTAGTCTAGCTTCGGGGGGCCAGTGAAGCCTCAGACCCTGAAAGGGCATCAGCAACCAGCAGTAGTGACCGCCAATATCTCACCTTTAACCGCCAGGCGGATACTGAGAGAGAGTTTAGAGAAGATTCGACTCCTTTCCAAGTCCTTGGGACCTTTGATGTGCCGGACTTTGGACCACTTATTGTGTCCGGCGGAGGCCGCCGCGGTGACATGCAGCGTTCTGTCTGGAGCTGGACGGCAGGCAGGGGATTCCGGATGGGAGACGCACCGAGGAGTCACACGGAACCCGAGGCCTCGCACAAGAAAGCCTCTGGCAGTTGCCCTGGTGAGTCTGGAGGCAGCCCTAGAGGTCATCATGCTCCAAGCCCTGGCCGCAAGGTGCAAACCCGAGAGGCCAAGGTCAGCCCGCCTTGTCTGTGGTCGGAACAATGAGGTCTGGACCTTCCTGCCGCTTTTGCTAACCTCCAGAAACGCAGAGGCTCAGGTCCACCTGAAGCGGCACAACGGTGAACGACCCCACGGCAGCCCGGTGGTGGCTGGCTGTGGGGACCCTTAACGGTACACTTCCTTTCCTAGGTCCGTTGCATAAACACATCCCCGGATCCCGCCAAGTCCGTTCCGCCCGCCTTCCGGTACTCTCTTCTGCCCTGCCTCTGCCAAGAGCACGGCTAGGAAGTGACCCAGTCTTCAACGCCTCCCGGTTGCTTAGAGACGCCAGATTTTGTTCCAGTGATCTAGCCGAGATTCATGTGAGTTATGAAACTGATTTTGCAGTCGTATTCCTTCCTAACGCAAAGCAGGTCCAGAATAATAAATGTTTTGTTGCTGAAAAAAACGTGTAGTTCAACAGTCTTGTTTTACAGGTAAAGGAACTATATATATTTTTTTTCTTTATAGGATATATATATATATATATATATATAGTGTATATATAGTTACTATTACCCGAGGCAAGGAGGGTTGTGACAGCCAGGACCCTGTCTCAAGCAAAACAAAACAACAACAAAAAGAAACAAAACCCATCCCAGCCAGAGAAGTGACTTGTCCAGATTTTAAGTGTTTCTGATCTAGACATTTTTTTTTTTTCTGTTACAGTGAGGCATCAGTTGTTTTACCAAACAAGGGTGAAAACAGTATAAACCATTGGAGTTTAAAGTAATAAAGTCGTATGTAAAGTAACAGCGGTGATTGTAGAAACCCAGGCTCCTAATCCCAAGAGACACCTTGGGACAGAGTCAGATGAGTCACAGGCATTTGGGGAGAGAAAGTAGGACCCAGCAAGCCTTTTGGAGTCAAACTGCCATCTTTATTTTCCATCTTCTCTCTCAAAAGAGAAAACCATGAAAAGGAAACTATGGGAAATGAGAAGAAACAAAGTAGCAACTATGAAAAATGTTGTAGAAGTTTGCCAAGGTGAGATTAAGTCCAAAGAGCTTGGATGTGTTAAAAAAGCAAGGTAGTGTGAAGGATGCTTGAATTTTTGCCCTCTGGAATTTGACTGGATAGATTCAGTATTTCTTCCTTTTATGTGTGACCTTCGGTAAGTTCTTTTAACAAGCAGGATAATGGGTGAACTGCACACAGGGACAGATTTATATTGTTACATATGCGATCCCATGATCAACTTGCTCATCTTGCATTCTCATGTTCTGATGTTACATTTCTACAGGAGGGCATTCCAACTCACCATCCTTCTGTCTTCCCACTTCTGGGATTACAGATGACTGCCATCACACTGGGTCTCAGTACAAATGTATACTATTTTTTTTTGTTGTTGTTGTTTCTCTGGAGTGTCCTTCATTGTTTCACTGGTGAAATCATGCTTTAAGACTCAGGTCAGCTGTCACCTTCTCAGTGAAGCTTTAAAGTCCTCCTTCAAATTCTTTTTAAGAAGTATTTTTATTTATTTTTATTTTATGTTATGTGTATTGTCTGCATGTATGTAAGTGCACCTATGTTGAGCAATGGCCATGGAGGTCAGAAGAAGGCACTGAATTTCTAGGAACTGGATTTATGGAGAGTTGTTAGCTACCATGTGCTGGGAACAGAACCTTGGTCTTCTGGAAGAGCAGCCAGTGCTCATAACTGCTGAGCCATCTCTCCAGCCCCCTCCAAATTTATTTATTTATTATTTATTTATTTAATTTATTTATTTGTCTTTTTGAGACAGGGTCTCCCTGTAGCCCCAGCTGTCCTGGAACCCACTATGTGCCTCCTTCAAATTCTTAACTATAATAGTTCACTTATTTTTGTCAAGGAGAGGTCATAGGGATTCAAATCCAGAGCCTCAAGCATGCTAGGCAAACACTACCACTAAGCTAGCCAAATTTTTTAAGACAGTCTCACTGTAGCCCAGGCTAGCCTTGAATTCATAGTGATCCTCCTGCCTCAGCCTTCCAAGTACAGGGATTACAGACATAAGCCACCAGTCCATGAATTTAAAAAATTATTACATTTTAATTGGTGTGTGTATGTGTACGATGTGTGTGGTTATGTGTGCCATGACATATGTGGAGGTTGGAGGATACCTTGCAGTGGTTAGTTCTCTCCTACAATGTGGATCTGGGGATTGAACCAAAGTGATCAGGCTTGCTGTCAGGAGCCTTTACCTGCTAAACCACCTTGACAGCCCCCCTAATTAAAAAAAAAATATGATCCAACTTCCTTAAAGATGGACTGACCCCTTCTTCCTTATCCTTTGCAGACTACAAACAACAGATTGCTCCTACTGCTTCTTTCAACTCCTTATTAAACAGACCTGCTTAGCAACAGCACTCATTTCACCTAACTAAATTTTATTCTTCCTTCAAGATTCATCTAGGCATCATTTCCTATTAATAAAAACATCAGGCTGGGCGTGGTGATGCATGCCTTTAGTCCCAGCACTCAGGAAGCAGAGGAAGGCAGATCTCTGTGAGATTGAGGCAGTTTAGTTTATACAGTGAGTGTCAGGCCAGCTAGGGCTAAAGGGAGACCCCATCTCAAAAAGAAAAAAAATCGATTCTACACTTAGGTTCAGATTGTGCTAATTGGCACTCACATAACCCTTCATGCATGGCTATACCATAGCATTAACTTTTTTTTTTTTGGTCTTTTTGAGGCAGGGTCTCCCTGTAGCCCACCCCAGCTGTCCTGGAACTCACTATGTAGACCAGGCTGGCCTTGAACTCACAGAGATCTGCCTGCCTCTGCCTCCTGAGTGCTGGAATTAAAGGCATGCGCCACCACACCTGGCTGCATTAACTTTTTAAAAAAAAGATTTACTTATTTTATGTGCAGATGTGTTTGTCTGTATGTAAGTGCGCCACGTGAGTGGACTGCCCAAAGAAGCCAGAAGAGGGCATCAAACTACCTAGAAATGGAGCTATGGACAGTTGTGAGCTGTGGGCGTGGGGATCTCGGAGTGCCAGCTGCTGGCGTGGCGCCGGTCTCTCCCACGCCGCTGGGGTGGGTCCCTGGCTCTCCACAGCTACCAGACGCTGGCGCCTCTGGGGGTTGCTGTCAGCTGCCGGGCGAGTTCTGTTCCAAGCTGCCGGGCACTCCCTCTGTGTACGTGATCCGTTGGCCACCGGAGGGGAGGAGCAGGAACAGCGAAAGCAGGATCTTCATGAGTGAATGTTTACGAAGGGACAGCCCCCTCCGGGGAGATTGTATCACAGGCTGGTTCTGGGCACAGTGAGACTCAGGATTCAGTGATACAGCTTCAGACAAGTGATACAGCTCCGTGATACAGCTCCGATTTATTAGGGGGAAACCAGGATATTTATAGTGTGGAGGCAGTAGCAAAAGCCTTAGTTGATAGGTGCTTTGTAGGATGCCCCATTTACATGTGGTGGTGGGCTTCTGTCAGGCTGTCAGACAGTGCCTGATTATCACACAGGAAAAACCTGGCAGTTTTTGTGCCGGAGGACATGTATCTGTGATGGGCACTTCAAAAGGTGAGTCAGGAAGGAGAGAGGAAGGCGCCCCGCTGAGAAAGGGAGTCCTTCCATTAGTGCCGAGCCAGCATGTGGCTATCCGGACATGGAGAGACTACAACCCAAAACAGCAGAGGTCCCCAACATCTCCCCCTGTTTGATTTAAAAATGGAGAAGTGCCATCACCAGCCCTAAGGGCCAACTCATCTGTCTCGGGAGAACTCAAAGTCTGATAATTGACCATGACCTGTTTTGTAGTGATTTCAACAATGGCAGTAATTTGTCAGCAAAGAAATCTTATAAAACAGTGAGCAAGTATCAAAATAATATACAGTATTACCAGGGGGCAACAAGGGATAGGAGCTATGCAAACAAGGGATTGCTAAGCCAACATAA